AATACACAAGTTCGTCTTTGACTGTTGCCGCATTGGGATCCGTGACAAAGGTTCACCGACCCTCTTCCTAGGTGAGAGTCCATTCTTGAAGTGCGAAAAGATACATGTAAAACTTACTTTTGTCATGTTCCCCCTTTTTACACAATCATCTCCTACAGTACTACAGACAGGGGATGCTACTTTTTAAACTAACGATTAGGAAAGTGAATGTTGTTGAATATTAAGATGAATATCTCCAATTTTATATTCTTGGAAACTTACTTTTTGTAGAAAAAATAATGTCAAATATACAAGTACAAGGAACACCGTCAAAATTGTACAGCAAAGTCAGCTGTACACAGATATATCATATACCGTCAAAGAAGCAATTGGACCTATGTTTCCCAAGGGTTCTTACATGTACATGTGCATTTCAGCACGTCCAAGCACATGGTTAATTTATGCCAGACGCCTGTCAAGATTTAAACACTTCCAGTTTGTCCCTCTTGGTACACCCCAAGGGCAGACCAAACAGTGCCTCTTTTAGTCCACTGGCATTTCAGACTGCCAACAATGTGTGACACATGACACACTACTGCGCTTATGTGCAGCGGCCACGTTCTTTAAGTCTTCCAACTACTCAGTAAATTATGCATCGAGGTTGAGCAATATTGTGAATCAAAACATTTCCAATTCCCCCTCCCCCCGCCACGTGAAGTAAAAATATCCACGCACACAACTTGCAGTCACCAAGTTTGGAGCTAATGGGTCCCTCTCTGCTACGTTCCCGCGTTGATGGTTGTTTACAAAGACCTCGGCACAGAAACCCAACATTCAGATGAAACTTCTGACCTCTGGGCCCAGAACATTTTTGAACAACAGAAGTGTTTAAGCTCCGACTAGTGGGATCATCTCAATTAGCCTTTTAGAAGTGTGGCGGACACAATAGGAGGGGCTCTGTTTGAAGAGGCAAACTTGGAGCAAACACAAAAGATTCTACCCAAACCAAACAGCCCCCGTCCTATTGTGTCTGCCATACCTCTAAAAGGCTAATGAGCTTTGCATTGTAGTTCTAGGTATGCCGAACCTGTCAATGCATATACGTGTATGTGCAATCTGAGCAGTCAACAAGTCTCTATCAACTGGGATTGTCACAAACGAGAACTCCCGCATAAAAGTATTGTCAATCTGACAAAGTGTGCTTTCCTTATTGTTCAAATAAACAAAACGGTGCAAGGATAACATGAGTTGAACGCAAGTGGGGGGAACAAAACTGAACAATACAATGTGGGATTTCAAATGAGCCTGGACGTTGGGAAAAATAATGGGATTATTCACAGATATGCCGTTGGAAAGGTCAAGTGTAAAATCACTTGAAATTACGCGTATTCCTCAGAAGAATTTTTTTTTTTACCCTTTGCCCATATTGGTGCCATATGTATACCCGTACATGTGGGGGTGAGATTGACCAATGATAAAAATAGCTGAAAACAGCTGAAAAAGCATAAAGAAGCTGAACTGTGAAAATCTCATATACTTTTGTACAGAGCCAGTGAGGAAAAAAAGCTGAAATCCAACACAAGAAAAGCTGAGAAATCTCACTCCTGATATGCATCATCCAGCCGAATGGAATTTTGATTAATTTTTTTCCAATGCATCTTTAAATCTGTGGGTTAGACACACCTAAGCATATCAGTTATCAATCGATCAATACATGGAACTTTGCCACTGTAGGTTCTGAAGAAGTGTTATTTCTATATAGCCGTTGTGGTGTCTGTAAAGTAAATGTAAGATTTCAGGAGTGGAATTTTTCAAGTTGAACCAGTGGAGTAAAATTTTATGACAATTAGGGAAAATAAATCAACTAAAAAAGTCTGAATAAAGTCAAGGTCCCCTCCCTTGTGTCTACGCAATTCGTCGTGTGCCCGGCAGCAGGTCATAAGCTCGCGTACGCCCTTTTGCCTGGAAGCATGATCACAGTAGAAAAAGTTTTCCCAGTAAAAGGCCTGAGAAACACTCTCTCCATCTCTCTTAAATTTATTACAAAATCAACACAGGCTGTGCAAAAAAGCAACCTTTGAACAACTCGGGAAATCGTTTTGGAACTATTTGCAAAGAAATCTTTATATTTCATCAAAATAAAACAGTTGCATACATACATCCTTTTGCCGGGAAAATTTTTTTGGCGGCGATTATGCTTCCCGGCAAAAGGTCGTAAGCACTTACGACCTTCTTCCGGGCACAAGACGACATGCACATGTACAATCGAAAGTATAACACATCCTGTACCGGGATGTTGTCTGCAGTGTAGCCGAGTCAAGGTATTATTTAAGAACTTATTTCGCATATGATGTGGTTCAGCATTACTGAAGAGTTAGATCCCATTCCCCGTATTTCCATCTGCAAAGAAAGAAGCTGTTGCAGGTTGTCAATATTCTGAAGTCCAGGTGCCCTACTTTGTTAATATCCTTCGAATAACGTCACATTATTGACCAGAATACCATCTCAAACTGTTTGCGGTAGTCACTATTCCCTCCCCCTACGTACTTTTACGTTTCATTAATTAGTTCTCTTTTTTTAACACTATTTTTCTGATTGTTAAGTAAAGCAACGAGCAGATTATATCAGCCAGACAGCCTGTTTGGGGAACATGGGCAAATGTATTTAGTTTACTGATGATATCGCCCGATTGAAAAAACTAAACGAGTTCCTCCTCGTAAATGTCGAGTTCCTCCTTGTGGATCATGTGGCCGAAGTGGCAAATGTAATGTACCCCAAATTTCCCAGTCATGTGTGACTTTACACTTAGTACCAAGTCAGCAGCAATATCAGAATTCCTGTACGTCTGTGTCAAACATTGACAGTCATTTGAAACAGTCAAACCACCCGCTGTCTCTTCGTTGCGAGCGCAGGAGGTATGTCTCATCAGAGCTGACACCCTTTGGAACACCTCTGAGGTGCAAGTGCAGATTGAGAGGGGGGAAACCCCCCAAAACACTACAGGCAAAACACAGAAGTTTGATGTGCGCCACGGGTGCATTGCCATGTAAGTTACAGGTGGGATATCACACACTCACTTTGTCAAGCTAACCTCTACAAGGCATGGGGAAGAAAAAAGGATTCTTACAGGTATCTACGTTACATGTTCAATAAATATATTTTTTTCTCTTAACATCACCCATAACTTATTCAATCGAGTGGCGGGCTAACCATGCACATGAATGCGTCTACAGACTGACTACTTTAAACACTTCTTTTCATTTAGAGAGCTTTCCTAAACCTGCAATTAAAAAAACACAATCATTTTTACTGTTGCAACTGCCAGGTAACAGCACATTTCGTTGTTTTGTCTTTGTTTTTATTCTATTTCTTTGGCGCGAGCCACTCTCTCCATTTTACGCAAAAGTTACTGATTTTACAGGCCTTCCGAAAACCCCCCTCGGGTCATTCTATAAATTTGGGGTCCCATTTTTTTCCCGTCCCTGTTACATCTGCATATGTTTTCTGGTTTAGAACTCATTGTTTAATTTCCAAGACTGAATAAGTACTGCAAATTACCTGCCAAACAAACAAAAAACAGTTTAAAGTCAATATCAGTGATCCATCCCTTGTCAAACATGTCGGATGGTATACACGTCAGAGGTAACAGGGACGGAAATATGTCATACTTTGGACCCCAAATATGTAGAATGACCCTCTTGCTGGTTTTGTCAAGGGGAAAAATAAAAAGAAGAGAAAATACTACTTCCAGCATTAATTGTCGCAAAGCTAAATGAACTGTGCATTTTATTCTTGGTCCTAGGGACCTTCCTGAATCCTCCACAAAATCCTCCCCTACTGCGCAGGAAACCAACGGGCAGGTTCTTTGTACCGCTACTGCAAGCTTCAAAGGTCAGCAAGGCCCGGGTGCAGGACCACTCGGCTTACCTCTGAATCCGCCTTCCCGATCCTACAAAAATCTCCGGGTGAATTTTGAGGAATTTTTGGAAGGGGTCGGGGCTCATGATCGACCTTTCTGCAGTAGTCGTGACATCACTGCCCCACTACTTTCATTCCATGCCCAAAGCAAGAGGGAACTGGATAAATGAGGCCCGAGCAGGACCAAGAGAGGGCGCAATTTTTCCAGCAATGGAAGCTCCTTTTGTGGGAACACACCTCGCTAGTTTACAAACAACTACGGTCATGTCCCTACCAGCAATATGAGCTCTCCCGGTCTCCCGCCAGGGGGTGCTTTTACACAAGGCGGACACACTTTAAATAGTTTGCATAATTTGGTGCCCAGAGCCATGTTTCAAGACCTTTCTCACGAGGACGAGGATCAGGATTAGAAAGGAACTGCTGATGAGCGGCAGTAGCATACAACTCTCGCTTCGGCCCTACTCTTGACTCACAAGTGTACCTGTCCAAACGCAGTGATTGAAAATCTACATTGTACTTACAACCGGACCCAAACCAAAAAGAGGTAAGGGTTGGCCGACTTTTTCACTACAAATTGAGCTCTTTCTCCTACTCGCCTTTCGTTGTTTTTCGCCAGATGCGCACAAGGCAAATCGGGACTCCTCGCCGGTGGGTGGCGCTCGGTTGGCAAGTCGGGCCGTCCGAAATAAATGGTCGCGACGATCAGAAATCCGGACAGCGTACGTACAATCCAGCCGTGTTTTCCCCCGCAGCCCCTTGGGTCACCCTCTCAGAGCCGAAGCGTCCTCAAGTAGACATCTTCACATACCCTCAAACTGCATCCTCAGCATCTGGTTCCTCTCATGCACAGTACTAAATCTTCTCATCTATTGCAGGATTTTTTTTTGGGGGGGGGGAATGCGAAGACACCACTAAACCACTTCTTTTCTGTGGAGCACCGGCATGCCAGTCTATGCACATAAATTTTATACACATCCACAGTGGTCAGACGTAGCTACGTACGGTACAGTTTCCAGCAAGTCTTAAAACCGGGTGGTAGTGTCCAACACCGAGTCTTTCTTCTCCGTGGCCGATACGTATATTTCTTGCAGGGTTTTATCCCGCCATTACGCACTGGCGTTGGCATTGGCACCGGCGGCTTTCCTTCGCTTCTCCATGAGTTCCTCGTAGGAGCTTTGGTCTAGTAACCGGACCCTGGTGAAAGGGAAGAAGCCCTGTTTGCCGTTCACCTCGCCCTTCCAGTTGCCGCTGACGTTCCTCTCCAGCACTTTGATGATACTGCCAACCTAGCAAAGGAGGGGGAGGGACATATAAGGTTGGCGACCCATTCCATAAAAGAACAACGCGAATAAAAGATGGTGTGTGAACTTTAACAGCAAAATGCAAAACTGCGGAAATATCGCCGTGCCACTGAAAAGCCTGGTCCCATGGTCCCTACTGTGGTTCAGAGATCCACAGAACTACTGTTGTTACAAACTGGAGGTAACAATTTCGTTCCATTAAAAGATGGGGGCAATTTCCTTCCAACGTTCAGAACAATGTGCTACTTCCTATGTACGAAAAAAGGAGCCTTGTTTTCCGTACATGGTCAACTGGGATTGCGTCCAATGCCATTTGTTAAGTGTTTTTATATTTTAAGGGTACACTGAACCTCACAAAATCCAACAGGTTCATGTACTTGTCTGTGTACTTGTACGTGCAGGTTAGTGTACCAAACCTGATTAACTCCAACAGAAAGAGCCCGTTGGAGTTTGAATGATATGGTATGGATGGGTCTATGCAGCGTAGGATGACTTGCACTGAACAGTACCAAACCTGACAAAATCAAGCATAGTCCTACAATTGGTACTGCAAGCCAGACACTACACACAACGACCCGTGTGTGTCCCAACTCACACAGAATCCAACACCATCTCCCTGGGCCTTTCATCCCAAGTCCCACAAAATTCAACAAGTTCATCAGGTACGGTACCACACCTGCCAAAACCTCACAAAACCTGCTGTTGGAGTGTGGCAGGTTTGAGGTAGTTAGGGTTAAGGATACCCGGTATAGACATGACATGGGTGACCGGTTCCAAGCATACCCATAAACGCACACCCCAAGACCAATGCTCCTTTCCCCCTCCCCCTTCAATCTCTTCAGATACTAACACACAAAACGTCTCCAAATGCTGTCAGAAGCACAGCGTGTTCCGTCAAAACCGGACTTGACAGTGATCTCTAGCCCTGAAATATTTCATCTGTATCGCTACAAATTTCAAAGGGCGTAATTTGGCCGAAGACTGTTCGGTTTCAAACAAATTATTAAAATGTGCGCAACCGTGCACCACACGAGCAACCCCCTACCTCTAGTTTGAGTTGTGTGGGATCGTACGCAGACGGGATCCTGCCCTGCTCTACGATGGCGTACTGCACGGTGTTGGGATTAATCAAGCTCAGCTGCCGATACTGGTCGTTGTTGGTGGTCGTTTTCGAGTCCTCGCCTGTCGACTGCCGCCCGTCGCCCGCTCCTCTGTTTTCAAGTTCATTCACCTGTAGGATGTGGATTACAGCAAAAAATTCGGTACGGGACCTCCATGCAGGCGTGGCAGACTGGCTGACTTGGCCAGACCAGTCCGGAAAGGAAAGATCTAGTGCACAGGGATCCGCTCCCTTTGAACAGTGGTTCACATACAAGAATAAGCTACATCCGAATTTCTTGGCTGCAGCGTGAAATTACCCAGGCATCTATGGCAGCAGCCACTTCAATAAGAAGCCCCAGCGAAGTAATTCAGATACGACTGTATTTTCATCTTGGCAAACAAGGGTAAAAAACAGGTCAAACCAGAGCGAAAGACAGGATTAATCTTTTGAAAATCCCTTGGCTAATACGAAATCTGCAAGACTGCCAGAGGGAATCAAGGACAGATTACACGGGAAAAAACAATTAAAGCCATGTCCGAACGTCCTGGCTACCACAAAGAAAACATGCAGCTATGGAAGCCTCCCGGCTAGTGGCTTGCTGCATTTTCCATTAGTGCGTGTGTTATTTTAAGCTGCAGCCATGTAACTCGTTCACAGGCTTGTGCAGGAGTCACTGAAGTAGCATCCTCACCGGCTTGATGTAGTTGGCCGGCACCAGACCTTCACGTCCCGAGTTATTTCTGGCCAGCCACCACTGGTCCTCGTCCTTGCGGATTATGGTGAGGATGTCGCCTTTGCAAAATGACAGGTCTTCATCATCCTGTGCACAGTGGAGAGAACAGCAGACCATAGACAGTGATCATGATGGTGCCATGTTTGCCTAGTTCCCTGTTGACCCACTGGCAACAGTATTACAACATTACATATAGATGAAAGGGAACAGACCTTTATCATATGGGGTGCCATGATTGTCTTGTTCCCTGTTGGCCTACTGGCAATGATATTACAACTTTACATATAGATGAAAGGGAACTGACTTTTTTTCCTTCCAGCCTCCGTTTGATTACATTGGTTTGAATGGAGAAAAGCAAAATGACTGCCCCATGATAGAGGCCTGTAGCATATGGATGTATGACGTCCAATTTTCCTGGTATAGAGGCTTTAAATGATAGCCATCTTGCAAGGCAGTTCTTTTGTTCCATGGGGAAATCTCCTTTGTATAAACCCTACGAAACAAAAGCACTGGCCTGCAAGATGGCAGCCATGCAAACCCTCTATAGCGCACCGAAGTGTGACATCATTTTCAACCAGGAAGTATAGTGCAAACCACCGGAGTACGCACACGTGTTGGTTTATGCGTCAGTTCTTACACTAATGCCTTTTACACACACGATTGTATGCGCGCCATATTCACTTCCGTACTCTATACTTTATGAAAGTAACCAAGCAGATATAGGCAACGCAGAGGCGCACGCTAGGAAAGTGCTGCCAAACACCACCACAGAGCAAATGTGACCCGTCATCACAAAGTGAGCTCGAAGTCGGAATTTTCAAAAATTGAGATATTGGTATTTTTGTAATTCAGCAGAGAGAGAGAGCTTTCCAATGGTGTGTACTTGGAACACTTGGGGTCAAAGTATAAGGTGACGGTGTGCATTATTCTGGCGGATTTGTGTCTGTTTCCCACACGGTTTCAACATTTCCGACCAGGTACGAATAATGCTATTGTCAAAATTGCCCAGTCACATGTTTAAATTTATGATACCTGCAAAGAAGTTGGAATTGAACAGGAGTCGGGTTACTCTTTCCGAATATTACGAAACCCCCAAACTGACCTCCACTTCAATATATGACTTTCAACCGTCAAGATAGGAAGGAGCGGAGTGCGACTTCCCGCTCATTCTGTTGTGATGGGTCACGGATGGGAGCGCCCACCTACCGTTTGTGTGAAATTGTACTGCGCCTTGCAGACCAGGCCCAAGCCGGCAGACTTGTTCATCGGCGGTAGGGGAGGAGGGATCTGTGAATTGTGGGCGGGTCCGCACGCGTTTTGGGCGACCGGTGCCCCCAGCAGGTCGGGCACATCTCGCTGGGTCGGATGCCTCTGGCACTGGAGAGAAGAGGAAACGGCAAACCAGGATGCAACTTGGGCTTCTGAACACTTAATTAACCCTAACTGCCCAAGGGTTGCTGGCCCTAACCTTCCCCATTCACACCAAGTTTAACACCCATATGGGACTTTAAGCACAGAGGCTGTTGGACTTTGTTTTTCTGAGGTATGCCAAACCCAATGCAAAAGCCAGCTGTTATGGGCCTACCAGACCTATCCCCACAGAATGAAACACTTTACTACTGTTTAATTCTGTGTGGTTGGGGGAGGGTCAGGGTTAAGAAGTATTTGGGTCAGGGTGAAAGATCTTTGTTTTTCCTCATGCCACTTGTGAATGAGGTTCCCTGCCTCGTTTCTGCCTCAACCACTGGTCGTCTTTGTGGTTGGGGAAGGTTAGGGTTAAAGCTACTATGGGTAACTACTGAGAGGGACATCTTGCCACTGCTGGAATCAGAACGCTTCAATAATTGATCCAGCGGTGGCGAATGAATTATTCTGGTTGAAGGAAAAGAGATGTAAAGACAAAAAGATATGGAGTTATGAAACCTTGCGATCAACAAAATGTGGATCTCATAAAGATTTGAACAAGATTGTCTGGAAACTGGGGTCGGGTGAACACAGCGATTCAGGGGTAAGATAGGGGCGGGATGAATATCCATGAAATAATCACCAGATGTTTTGAGGGCCTAACAGCCATGGTGTTTGCCTACAGGCACCCCTTAAATACCTGTTTCTCATGTTCTGTATCAACTTTTAAAGAACACCTCGATCAAAGTTGTCAACATTTTCACTAGCGTACACAATGTAGGCTGGGGGGAGGGGGTCAATGCCAGCTGCACACCTTCAGAATTTTGAAAAATGTCAAGTTGTTTCTCATTTCCTGCTGTTAGTGCTGTAGCCCAACCGCCAAACTGTACCAAAATTCATCAAGCATGGCACTTTTGAACCGAACCAAACGGGTCAATTCGGATGTTCGGCTTTAATACGGCAGGGCATTGACAGCACATGGTGTGCACGCACGGACACTTGACAGAAAACGTGAATAAAAACATCCTGACAAATCTCACCCCTGGACAAACGAACTTACAGGTTCGGTGAGAGTGGTTGTGTCTAGGAAGTGCAGCTTGTAGAACTCCAGCACCTCGGGCAGGCTGGAGAACGACTGGTCGCCGATGACATACTTGTTGACTACTGTGTGCTGAGGTGATTGAATGATGTAGTGGGACACCTTGCAGTTCTCGCTGGAGAAAAATTACAGCGTTAAAAAAAAATTGGCTACCCAAAAAGAGTCCTGTACTAGTGATGTGTACATAAATATCCTGCCATTTGAAACCGTACCGTACCGATTCAGGAAATTCAAAGTGCATGCTGGCAGGATTGAAATCAGGCGTGATCACACCAATAACTAATAACAAATCGCTACCACGGGAAGCAGCTGGTATGGCTGAGAAGAGGGAAGTCACACTGAATTGCATTATACACCACACACTGACAGATCGAAGCACCACGAAAGGCGTCTTGGACCCAAGACTAGGGTATCCCTAAGAAAAGTCTCTTGATTGTTGTTGCTAGTCTGGTGCCTACTGTATACCTGAAAATCTGATGACACATACAGCATATAGAAAAACACAGGCATCGGCATAAGAGTCTGGGAAGCAGACTTCACCCCACATGTTGTGCGCTCAGTACGAATACGTCTCGTAACTGACGGTGAGTGTACATGTATGTCACGTACGAGTGTACATTTCATGTACTGTGCATGTTCATGGCCACGTGTAAGCACACTTTACCCGCTGCTCCTCTCTAATGTCGACTGTCAGCGCTTGAAGAATCTATGAATTGGAAACCACTGGTGAAATACCTGTTCACCTACATCGGTAGCTATCATACAATCAAGTCATCCGTATGGACATCAGTACAGTTTGGCTTCAGAGAGTACGTCCCACTGAGAATTTGTACAAACATGGGATTAAACGCCAAAGCGCAGCTTTTTTGTTGGGGAATTACAAGCACTCACACTTGTACTTAAATATACAAGTACTCGTCCTTTTGGCAAAGTCCTCAGACTTTTATGTACTTGGACATCTAAGTACTCGGCAGTACCTTTGTCCTTGGGAATAAGTACTCGACTACAACACTGCTTATTTTCATTGGCTAACAGTGCATTTTATAACCTGGACTTGTCAGTGAGAGTTGCGGACGTTTGCATAAACAATTTCCTTAAACTATTAGAAAGTTCTGCGGTCGTGATTAATGTTTTGACTGTACACTGTGGGTCAAACAAAGGAACTTTTTATGGTTGAGTCAAAGGCAGGAACCACACATTTGAAAAAGGGAAGTTTGTTTTTGATATTTAAGAAAACAGAGGGAAACCATGACAATAATTTCTGGGGAAGTCCCCAAATTGCCCACATGAGGAAGTGAGAAAATATTAAATCTGTGAAAAGAAACACGTTTCCAAAAAAAATCCAAATTTTGTCCTGACACTGTGCATCAAAACATCACCCTTCAATACTTTTTGTTTTCTTTTTCTTTTCTTTGTTGGAGGAGCCTTTCTCATTTCAGCCACCAAATGCCAACTAGCTTCTGTGCGACTATTCACATGTGCTACAAGTTGCAGATATGACAGAAAGAGGCTTTTTTGTGTGTGTTGGGGAAATCAGATAAAATTGGAGCCGTTGATGAATCACGGGCCGAGGGAAATCGACACTGCACTGAGACTGTTGCAGACCTGCCAACCTGTCGTACTCCTTCCTGAGGTCACGCAACACCACACAATAGATTAAAAGGTATCTAAATGAGCGATCAGTTCATTTAAAGGTTTAATCTATTATGTAGTGATGCCTGACCTCAGGAAGGAGCACGACAGGTTGGAAAGCCTGCTGTTACGCAGATTGATATGGCACGTTAGCGGAATGTTGAAAGCATGCAAAACTCAAACAGAGTGGTTGAGCTCTCAGATTTCACAAAGGACCACACTTGACCTCAACATGTTTGAGCAGTGGGAATGTGTTTGACGTTAAGTGAACCATTAACCCTCCTATGGTTTTACAGCACAAAAGCCCACAGTCACTGG